GCTGGGAGGGAGACTCTGTTCTGTGCATGTCTCAGCTTCTGGTACCTCAGGCGTTCCTTGGCTCGTAGGTGGTGGTCTTGTGACTTCACATTGTCTCTTCTTCTGTACATGTCTGTCTGTCCAAATTTCCCCTCCTTATAAGGGGACCAGTCATACTGGATTAGGGCCCACCCTAATGACCTCATGTTAACTTGATCATCTGCAGAGACCCTATTTCCAAATAAGGTCACATTCACAGGTACTAGGGGGTTAGGACTTCAGCATTTTTTGGGAGGATACAATTTACCCAATAATGGGTGTGAAGGAAAGAAACAAGCCTTTTCTCTCTCTTCCCCCACCGTGCATCTCCACTTCCCTCAGACAATGACTGATGTGGTGGGTAACCCAGAGGAGGAGCGCCGAGCTGAGTTCTACTTCCAGCCCTGGGCTCAGGAGGCCGTGTGTCGATATTTCTACTCCAAGGTAAGTACTGGGGGTGCACGGGGGAAATTAACAAAAGACATGGGGTCTTCACCCCTGATGGGGGTCAGTGGTGTTAGATACCAACGTCTGGTTTGTCTCATCTTCCACTCCCTTCACCATTTTCTCCTTAGGTGCAGCAGAGACGACAAGAATTAGAGCAAGCCCTGGGAATCCGGAATACATAGGGCCTCTCCCACAGCCCTGATTCGGCTGCACCGATTCTTGATTTGGGCCCTGTGCTGCCTGCCTCAAAGCACCTGCCTTGGTCTTGCTTGGGGCGTTCCAGGGGATGCCGTTGGTTCAAGGACAACATCATAATGAAGAGGGTCTCACATTTCTGTCTCATAAGACCTTTTATCCTCTTCTCTCACCCCATCCCTTCCTACCCCCAGCTTCCCTTTGCCCTACAAAGTTCCCATGTGCCTCTACCCTCCCCTGGTCTACATAAGACCTCTAGATAGTATTAGAGAGAGAACCTGTAGTGGTAATGAGTGCTCAGAATGGATTGGGCCTAAGGCCAGGTGGTCTTTGAGGGGACCAGCTACACTGATCCTGCCCTTCAGAGACCCAGGAGTTGGGAGTTTTAGCCCCTTCTCCAAGACTCAGGCCTGGGGGCACTCTATAAGCTAGTTGATCTTGACTCTCCTGGTAACAGAATCCAATTTCCTTCCTTCCCTCCACAGGTTTGGAGCAAACTCTCCCTTCACTTGTTGCCCTGTAGCACTAAAGAAACCCTGGTTCTTGGGCTCCACGGGGCCCCAGGTCAGTCCCCAGCCCTCTGGGTTGGCCTGTTCTCTCAGTGCTTCTCTCCTTAGTTGGGGTCCACATCAGTATTGGAGTTTGTTCTTTAACTATTGCTCCCTCCCAGACACTCCCTGTGGCTGCCCTTTGTGATTCCTTCAGATCTGCCCTAACCCCAGGCATTTGGGTGGGTGAATCTTGCCTTTGCCTTTCAGAGCCCCAGGGATCTCATCTGGGGAACTGTCATTGCCAGCAGAGGCTGTTCCTTCCTGCTGTTGTTGGGAGATGTGACTCATTCATTCACTCCACCCTGCCTCCCCATCCCTTAATGGAGAAACAGGCCTGAAACCAAACGGGTAAAAAGCCCTGGGCCATCCCTGTCTTCCTGTCCCTTGCCTGCCCAGTTGACACCTACTGGTGACTTTTAGGGCACTGAGGAGTGAAAGCACCTAGGGCTGGAGAATAGCGCTGAGTTGGGTTTGTGACTCTTCCCTCTCCCTGCCTCACAGGATTGTGACTCCCCAGCCCCTGCCCTCAAAGCTTCAGACCCCTCAGGTAGCAGCAGGACCTTGTGATCTTGGCCCCTTGGAACTGAGATGGTTTTTGCATCTTTCCAGGAGAGCCTCACATTCTTCCAGGTTGTATCGCCCCCGAGTTAGCATATCCCAGGCTCGCAGACTCAACACAGCAAGGGTGGGAGACAGCTGGGCACAGAGGGGAAATTCCGTTCAGCATGGGCTCTAAACCCACAGAACTGACAAAGCCCCTGCTTCCCCACCCCCTCCTCAGGCTCCTGCGAGCACACCCCCACCCCCAAATCCCTGCCTGTTCTACACTGGGGACAGCAGAATATTCTTCCCATCTTCCCCTTCCCACCATTTTCCCTCCCTTGAAAGGTTGACACTGGACAACCTTGGGGCAGATGAGCCCTGGCCTGCCTCCTGGCTGGAACCATGAGAAGGAAGCTCAGTACTTCCACAGTGTCCCTGTTGAGAACTGTTTTTATTAACTGAATTATTATGTTTTTTCATGGACCAAAATTTTTTTTGTACTGTCCCCTTATTGATGTTACCCAATTTTAATAAAAGAATCTTCTGAAGGATGGGTCCCCCTACCTACTGTGAGAGAGCTCTTCCCTGAGCTCTTCCTTCAATACCATTAGCCATGCTCATAAGTGTTTGTTCATTTTATTTGACATGTATTTATCAAGCACCTACTATGTGCTAGTTGTGATGCTAGACGTGGGAGGTACAGTGGCAAATGAGATTTCTGCTTTTGTGGACTTCAGGGTCTTACCTTAAGAGATTGCTCTGTCTGCCCCAGTGGTCCAAGCAGGCTAGTTGCTAGTTGGCATTATTGGGCGAACTGGATCTTAGAGCCCTTCCCCGACTTTCCTTGTTAGGCAGGTACTAACAGGTCAGTAGCAGTCATCTTCCCCCTTGTCCATCTGAGCTCCCCAGGGCACTTGCTGGCTGGAGTGAGCTTTGGATGCCTGTGATCCCTTAGGTTTGACCAACCTGAGCCTCCTTTGGAGGAGTTTCACTTCGCCTCCAGGGCTTCTCTCTAGATGTGGGCAGGACCTGGACGACCAACGACATTTTTGCTTTTTGTGCTGGCTGCTCTTTAAGGTTCCACTTTCAAGGTTTGGGTAGGAGTTCAGTTCTTAAGACCAGCATGGAAGTTCTGTGTTGTCATCCTCCTACTGTAGACAACCAACCCCTCCTTGGCAGAGTTGGGAAGACGGCTCAGGAGGGATTCCCATTAGCAATCACTTGAAACTTTCCTGCAATTCTTCCTGCTTCCCACTTGGGGGCTCATGACTTTTTTTCCTTTGCCATTATCAGAGAGTGGAGTTTGGAATACAGGATGAGTGCAACCACTTTCCAAAGTTGTAGTTTAAAATTATCCTGTGCCTCTTTGGATGGGAACATTCTAGTATTGCCTGTTCAATATATGTAAAACCCACCAAAAAATCCAACCACTGTTCCTACTGTGGAACTTGGGGTTTTATCAGACTTGAGAAGGGGAAGCAGAGATGAGTGGTTGAGCCGATAGCTAGGAGTGGAGAAAATTGATGTCAAGGACATTGAAATGGCATCTGTTTTTACCCAGGCTAATTACATGTGTAATGAATGGCTGATGAACCATTATTAATTTCAAGCAAATAATCTACAGTTTGCTCTTGGGAAAAGAGCTCTAGTGATACAGATAACTTCCTGTGACGAGCCAATTCTGAATCTCTGCACCCTCTTTATTCCCATGTAAATGAGCACATTCTTAGTCTCCACACTACCTAAAATGATTGTAGGGGCAAAATGAGAGAGGGAAGCATTTAGGCAAAAACAAGGGGGTTATTTTATGCATAAACATCTATTCTTTGGGGCTCCCGTCATTTGTGCCAGGGACAGAAGCATCCTTTCTCTTCCATCACCCGTAATCAGTGCTCCCAGCTGGCAGCCTGGCACTGGAGCCTTCATCTCAGTGCCAGTGCAATAAAGGAGTGGTCTATAGGAGGCTGTTTCTGTGTTAGGCACTGTGCTACGCTGAACAGCCAACTACTGATTTCATGTCCGTTTCCCTAAGGGAACCCACTGGCCATGGAAGGAGAATATGGTTGGCTTTTCCTGGGCAGTCCCTGGAACTTAGAAAGCCATTTCTCCCCAGTCTTGACCTCCTGCCCACTTACCCTTACCCACGGGTTGCACACAGACTCCCCTGTAGCCCAGTGCTTGTTACCAGTTGCTGGCCAGCAGCAGCCCAGGGGGATGGCAACACCCACCTAGCCATCTGCCAAGCCACGAGGTCAGCACGTGAGCACACAGTGCTGTCTGTCCTCTAGGCCAAGGTACACAGTGTTGGGAACCTCTTGCTCCACTCTCCAGATCAGCCTGGAAACCAGAGCTTCCTTTGTCTTAGTCAAACAGATGGCTGTGGGCGATGCAGAGCTCTAAACAGCTGAGTGTGTTCCCTCCCCCAAAAACACACACCAACCTTACCCCCTATCATGTGTCTGAGACCACGAAGCCCCATGGACACAGCTGCCCAGATCCTGCCTCCCTTCCCCTTTTCTGGCCTCTGCAAACTAGCCATTCACCCGAGGAAGTCCCCAGGCCAGTAACTTGGAAACCCCTGAGAGGAGGAGTTGAAGGATGCTCAAAGCCTCTCAAGGGCACTGTGTGCTATGCCTGCCTCTTATCCTCTCCTGTCCTCTTAAGCCCAGACGCTACAACAGAATTGTGTGCCGCAATTCTGACAGCCGCCCAGTTTTCACCTTTCCCGCCTTCCTTAGAACACATTTTCGGGTGGGGATCATCTGAGGTGAGAGGCCCATGGATCAGTCCCCGAGATGACCTCTGTGGGTGACCAAGATGACCTTCCCTTTTGAGGTTCTGGGGTTTCTTATCCTTCTTTGAGCTGGGCTGTCTTCAAAGCAGGCCCTTAACTCTTATATGGCCTCATCTTTAGAGTGGGGAAGATGGGCCCACAGCTCCCACTCCAGCCCTGCAGTGGAGCTAGCATGGGCCTGCTAGAGGACAGAACTGTAGAACGGGGTCCTGGGGGGGGGTACATGGCAGCGCTGGGGATAAGGGGTCATGGAGGAGAATTCCTACCTCTGAAAAGCATTCCCCTCGTTGCTACTGAAGCTAAATGCAATTTATTTCATGCTGCAGGGCAGAGGGAGTGAGGGAGACCAGTCACCTGCTCCTTATCTGGGCTATTTTCTTGGCAGACCTCAAAATGGGACCATGGTGGGGAGGGAGTGGGAAGTTGGGCTGAGGCCAAGGGAAAAAGCTTGCCAGCACTGTCAGCCAAGCCCAGGAGGAAAAGCCAGGCCTAGCCTCTGCCCCATTCCTGTTCCCCACCTGTCTCTACCCCTGTCTCTCCTTTCCCTGGTTCTGCCAGACTATCTCCCTGGGCACCAGCCTCCCCACCCACCCCTGGAGGGCGGGGCTTGGCTGCACCCACGTGTGGTGGAGTTAAATGCTCCTAGCCGGCAGAGGAGCTAGGGAGTGTGGCACTGAGCCGGCTCAGGCAGAGACGCGGCACCATGGCTAGCAAGAAAGTCTGCATTGTAGGCTCCGGGAACTGGTAAGCAGCTCTCTCAAGCGATATGGGGGAAGGGTGGGCTCCCCAGGACAGAGGTGGGTAGGAGGCAAGGTGGGTGGGAAAGACCCTCAGGTTCCTGTTCAGCTCCTGCTGCTATCTTCTATAATAGCAGCACAGGACAGATGGTGCCCAGCCCTCTCCTGGCCCCTGCCCACCTGGGCAGCTGCACCTGTTCACCATGGGAAGGCGTCTCCAGAGCGCTTGTGTGAAGAGCCACCCGAGTTTGGGGGTGGGGAGATGAGAAGGCGGGCTCCCTTCTCTAGCAGCAAAGGGTGAGGAGACTGAGTCTCCTTTCTACTGCCAGGTCACTGTGGACATACTTGTCCAGGGAGCAGAGGTGATAAGGAAGGTGGGAGTGAACAGCTTGAGGGGCTGCTGTGAGATCCTGAGGTGGGGCACTGCCCCAACTCCTGCCGCTGTTCCCTCTTCCTCCACTTTCCTGTGCTCCCCCTTCCTCCAGGGGCTCAGCCATCGCCAAGATCGTGGGTGGCAATGCAGCCCAACTGGCACAGTTTGACCCATGGGTGACCATGTGGGTGTTTGAGGAAGACATTGGAGGCAAAAAGCTGACCGAGATCATTAACACACAGCATGAGAATGTCAAATACCTGCCAGGGCACAAGCTGCCCCCAAATGTGGTGAGTCCCAACACCCTGCAAAGAACAGGGAGAGGGAGGGAGGGCCAGGAGTTGGAGCTGACCTTACTCAACAGGTGCTTCCTGCTGAGGGAGCTGCTTCAGGTGTGGCAGGGCTTGGGAAGGCCTAAGGAGGGCTGCTCCGGGTCCTTTCCTGAGGATTAAGGAGAACCTGTGCTTTCCCCTCACAGGCTCCCAGGCAGGTGGGTGGGGAAGGGATGGGAGAACAAGTTGGTCTCCACAGCAACCAGAAGACAGGGCTCCCAGACTTGGGGTCCAGTAGTGCCTGCCTCAGGCGCTAATCCTGTTACTCATTCACTGAGCAATTAGCCAACTTGGAGGCTGCTCCTTGGACTTACGGTCTTTGGTGACACGTGGCTCTCCCAACCTGGAAAGAGGAAGCAAGGAAGAGAGCAGAAAGGCTGGGGCTCCCCCTTCCCAGCTGGGGTCCCTGGGAGCTTGGTGATGAAATCTTATTTGAGCTCTTTCTTCTGCCAAGCCCAGGCTGCTTTTGGCCTCCCTCAACTGTCCCACAGCCAAGGGACAGGAGAGTGCTGGGATGAGGTTTCCAGGAGTCCTCAAGAGCCCAGGACAGCTGGAGGGAGAGGGAGGTGGCTGGGGGGAGGGAGTGGAGTGTCTTATTCCTCCAAGTTCAGTCCTTCTAGATTCAGTCCAGTCCTGTTAGAGACAGAATATTGACTTGCTGAGAAAACTTTTTGTCTGAATGCTAATTTTTCCTTGCAGCACCTAGGAATATGCATTCTGTCTCTAACAGGTCCCAAACAAGCCTTCCTTCTCCCCTACCAGCCTCACTCTTTGGCTCCCGGATCTCCTGAATGGGGTTCCACAGGGGCTAGGGGAGGTCTGCCAGGCCTGTGAGCACTTGGTCAACCCCACAGGTGGCTGTCCCAGATGTGGTTCAGGCTGCAGCGGATGCTGACATCCTGATCTTTGTGGTGCCACATCAGTTCATCGGCAAGATCTGTGACCAGCTCAAGGGCCACCTGAAGGCAAACGCCACTGGCATATCTCTTATTAAGGTGCCGGGGACACCTTCATGTGGATGGGGGAGGGTGTAGCTCACTGCTGTGGGGCTCAGGGTGGGTGAAGCAAGGAGAACAGAAAATGGCACACGTGGGCCAAGAGTTTGTCGGAGAGAAGGGAGGAAGTTGGCTCTGGAGAGGCTTAAGAAAGCAGTGAGGTGCTGGAAGGGAAGGGACTGATGGAAGGGAGGCTGAAGGGAGGAGATGAGAGATTGGTTTGGAGGTCCTGTTTCCTGGGGAGTTTGAGAGGTGTAAAGTGATGCGGGGGAATATGAGAAGGGGGCTGGTTTGAGAATGTGAGTAGCTGGTCTGGGGCAGTGACGGGTCTCTGAATGGAAGTTTGTTGGGGCAGTCAGGCGGGGTTGCCTAGGGATGTGGAGGGACCCGTTGCCTTGGAGAGGTAGATTGGTTGAGGGTATGTGGCGGGAGAGTTTGTCACATGCTGTCTGGCCTCCTCACAGCAAACTTGAGCTGGGTTGGAATGGGGCAGGACCTCTGGGGAGGGACACAGATGAGCAATAGATTTGGAAGGGATAGAATTTCTGGGTGGAAGCCCGCAGGTGGGCACAAAGGGCACCTGGCATGAGCTCCATCCTGTGCTCAGGGGGTAGACGAGGGCCCCAATGGGCTGAAGCTCATCTCCGAAGTGATTGGGGAGCGCCTCGGCATCCCCATGAGTGTGCTGATGGGGGCCAACATTGCCAGCGAGGTGGCTGATGAGAAGTTCTGTGAGACAACCATTGGTGAGAGCCCCCTGCCACCCACATACACAGTGCATCTACTTGCATCCCCTCCCCAAACTGCCCCAACCCCACTTAGCCATCTCCTTCCCATAGGCAGAGAAAGGAAGATCTAAGCATCAGAGATGAAGGAGGCTGGGACATCCCCAGGGAAGGGGCTGCTAGGGCCTGCTTAGGGCAAGTGCGGGACGCACAGCGATGAGCCCTCCCTCAGAGCCAGTGCAGTGGTGCACCTGTGGTCCCAGCTACTCAAGAGGCTAAGGCTGAGGTGGGAGGATCGCTTGAGCCCAGGAGTTTGAGTGCAGCCTGGGCAACATAGAGAGAACCCTGTCTCTATGAAATAAATATTTTTTTAAAAGAGTCCTTCTCTCAAGTCTTGCCCCACTCCTCACTTTAGGCTGCAAGGACCCAGCCCAGGGACAACTTCTGAAAGAGCTGATGCAGACACCCAATTTCCGCATCACCGTGGTGCAAGAGGTGGACACAGTAGAGATCTGTGGGGCCTTAAAGGTGAGAGGGGCACACAGTAGCTATGGGGTGAGAAGGCCCCAAAGGAGGCCTGGCTGAGCTCTGCAAGGCTGCAGGCACTCCAGGCTCTCACTGTTGAGCAGTGGTTCCCCTTCCCTACCATGTCCCACGCATATAGGAGGAGCTGCAGAAGCAAGGCCAGGGCCCTTCAGGGTGGCTGATTATTTACCATCAGACCGTGGACTCCCTTGTTCCCTTCCCACTTTAGCCCCATTTGGGACCCCCTAGCACCTGGCTCAGGAGATGGTCCAGGGGGATGAGGGGATACCCAGGCTAACAGGAGACAAGACATCCACGACACCCAGAGAGATTCATGGCCAGAACTATGGATCCTGGACAGCTGTTGACCTGAGGACTATAAAATGGAATAGTCATAGATGAGAGGGCCAACTAGAGAGAAGAGTGGTTTTCAGAAAATGTCTTCAAGGAGGGAGTATGGGGCAGGGCTTAAAAAGGGGGTGCAGCAAAGTGGGGAACCAAGAGGCAAAAGTAGTTTAGGGGCCTACACACTATACCTCACTTATGTAGTGGGTGTCATGGCTGATGAGAGGAACATGAGGGGGCGCCACATGGGGACTACAGGAGGGGGTCTTTTCTCATCGATGACCTCCACTTCTTCAAGAATGTAGTGGCCGTGGGGGCTGGCTTCTGTGATGGCCTGGGCTTTGGCGACAACACCAAGGCAGCAGTGATTCGGCTGGGACTCATGGAGATGATAGCCTTCGCCAAGCTCTTCTGCAGTGGCCCTGTGTCCTCTGCCACCTTCTTGGAGAGCTGTGGTGTTGCTGACCTGATCACTACCTGCTATGGAGGGCGGAACCGGAAAGTAGCTGAGGCCTTTGCGCGTACAGGAAAGGTGGGCCCCGGGAGAAGGGAGAACAGAGCGGGGGCCCTGTAGGCATCCGGGTAGAGGTGCTTCACAGGAGGCATCTCTGGAGCACAAACATTAAGACTGTTGTGAGCATCCCCATCCCTCTTTTCCTCTGAAGACCCCACTTCCATCTGAACTCATCTCTCCACCCTCCACTGACAGCCCTCCTCTCCCATTTCTATCTACTCGTCCTGCTTTCTGCACAGTCCATTGAGCAGCTGGAGAAAGAGATGCTGAATGGGCAGAAACTGCAGGGGCCCCAGACAGCCCGGGAACTACACAGCATTCTCCAGCACAAGGGCCTTGTGGACAAGTAAGTGTTGGCCACAGCCCCACTGATTAAGGGAGCCATGGCCAGAAATGCTTGCCCTGTTCATCTTCTTGCACCCACCACAAATCTGTGAAGTGGACAGAGAGGGGAGTGTTACCTTATGTTTCAGACAGAGTCCAGAACTTGCAGAGTCTGGCATTCCCATTGTCCCCCAGCTAGTTCGTGGTCTTTGAACTCCTTCCAGTCTAGTGCTCTTCACACTACATTACCTGGATCCCTTTATGCCCCCGCTTCCTTGTGCTCTGCTCTGGGGATTGGAGCTCTGAGGCAGCAGAAATAAGCTCATCAGCCAGGCACAGTGGCTCATGCCTGTAATCCCAGCACTTTGGGAGGCCGAAGCGGGCAGATCACCTGAGGTCAGGAGTTCGAGACCAGCCTGACCAATACGGACAAACCCTGTCTCTACTAAAAATACAAAATTAGCCAGGCGTGATGGCGTATGCCTGTAATCCAGCTAGTCCAGAGGCTGAGGCAGGGGAATCACTTGAAGCCGGGAGGCAGAGGTGTTGCAGTGAGCCGAGATTGCGCCACTGCATTCCAGCCTGGGCAAAAGAGCAAAACTCCATCTCAAAAGAAAGAAAGAAAGAAATAAGCTTATCCCACTTTTGTCCATCACTCCCAGTTTGAGTTTCTCCCCCAAGGCCAACCCATCTGTTCCCTGAATCCTGTCCTGGGTGTTGAGATGTAAGGAGAACGATGGGCTCTGCTTCAAGGTGCTCCTTTTCAGGGAGCAGAAAGATAGCAGGGGTGACTGGGCTGATCAGAGCAGAGCTGTGCTGGTCTGAGAAAGACTCCTAGAAGAAGAGAGTATGAAACAGGTTCAGAAGATTCACTCATGGCTGGTCATGGTAAAGCCTGGAAAAGGGAGCAGCTGGGCAAAAGGATGGGAAGAAAGAAATGGGCATTTATTGAGCACTTTCACATCATACCTAATTACATCTTCACATCACAATCATATCTTCACTCCTTTGTTATACTGGCCCCATTTTACAGTTGATGACACTGAGGCTCAGAGAGGTTAAGCGAGTTGCTCAACTGGCACAAAAAAATCCAAGCCAGAGAATCATGCCGGCCAGTTCAGTATGGTAGGGAGCAGGGCAATTAGGAATCTGACTTTAAACCCAGGGCTAAGGAGTCCACATTCTCAGCAGGCAGAAATTCACAGCCAGCCTTCCTGAGCTCCAAGGTAGGAGGGCAGGGGACAGGAGGGTTAGGTGGTGAGTGGAGGTGGGGGTGGAGTGGACCAGGAGTGGGAGACTAAGCTGGGCCGTTCCCTCTCCAATCTAGGTTTCCCTTGTTCATGGCTGTGTACAAGGTGTGCTACGAGGGCCAGCCAGTGGCTGAATTTATCCGCTGCCTACAGAATCATCCGGAACATATGTGAGTGGAGTCAGGGCCCAGGCCAGGCCGCTTCTTTACCCCAATGGAGACCAGCAGAAGCCTGAGGTACCTAGTCATCAAGATCTCCAGGACTCCCAGGGAACAGAGTCTTCTCATCTTTTCACTGGAGGACAGGAGGCTATGGGGCCCAGATACACACTTGGAGATTCTGAACTGTCAAGTCACTGGCAGCCTCTTGCCACCACATTTGCCAGAAATGCAGTTGCCCTGTCCCTCTCCAGATGTAGGGCTTTCTCCTTGTCCTCTGGGAGGGGTGGAATCAAGCCCCAGTGTTGCCTGCTTGGCGGGGTGGGTGGGTGGGGTGTTATGTGGGGAAGGGTGGAGGGAGAGGGTGGCAGGGCAGGGGCTGCCAGTGGCTGTCTCACACAGACCAGGAATCCTGTTAAAGGGCTGAAGAAATATCTTAGCCACAGCAGGAATGAGGCAAGGATTGTCAGGGAAGGGTCTGGGCTTCTGAGCTGATGCAGGCCCCAGGGACCCCTTTGCTGACCTTTGCCAGGACCCACACAGTTTCAGTGGATCTCAGTGTTTGTTAACAAAATACAAAGATCTCAAACAATCCCCTTCTAGCTTCTCCTAGCAACATCTGCGTCCTCAGAAACCTCTGGTCCTCCCCTTTCCTTCTCCCCCAGGCTGCCCTGGCACCCGAGTTGCTGCCATGCTGGCATCTCTAGCTGGGTGGCTTGACATTCTCCCCAGGGACTTCCCGGTTCCTAGTTCTTTGCCAGCTCCTCCCCGTTCTGTGTGACCTTTCCAAGCCTTCCCTCACCCTCCTCGCCAGCACCCTGTTTGGGGGGCAGGAACTTAATCTGCTGACAGAGCTATACCTTTCACAGCAGGCTCAGATCACTGGGCTCCCTGTGACCTTTGTGTTCGCCCGGCCTCCCTTCTCAGTAGCTCTAGCTGGGGGAGGTGTCAGCTGGGCCCCTCCTGTGCTATCTCCCCAGAGGACATCCCTGACTCCACCCCTTTCCTCCTCCCAAACCCTGCACCCCTTCTTCAGACTGGCCAGGGTAACCAGCCAACCCGTGCCTGGCATCTGGAAGCCAGCAGGCCGGAGGGTGGCCCAAAGGCTGACGAAGGCTAGGGAAAGGTGAGCAGGTGGGTGGGTATCAATATTCCAAGGGCAGCTCTTTGCTAAATGAGGGCCTCCTTGTGAGGTACTGACCACACCGGCACCTCAGTAGTTGGGAAACTTAGGAGGAGGAAGAAAATGAAAACCACCCTACTCCCTGGGGGTGAGGGAAGAACAGGAGCGGGGGAGGAGGAGTGTGCTCTGCACTGGCCTTGCTCCAGGATGGGGTGGCAGCATTAGAATGTCACAGGTCAGCAGCCTAGGCCTCCAGCTATAAATAATCCGAGGGCCCGAGAGGCTCCCGCCCGTCCAGCAGGGGTCTCAGCTTCCTCTGTGGCAGCACCTGGCACACTGGCTCTGGCCAGCATTATGCCAAAGCCCTCCTACTCTCCAACGAACCAGGGAGGCGGGCTCCTCTCTGTGCCTAGCCCTTTAGAATTCTGTCTAACAGTGAAGGGCGGAGCTGCCTAGATCAGGCAGCAAGAGTGAGGGCCACAGTTACCCCAGGCCTGGCTGAGACCAGGTCTGGGCACTGAGTGACTTCAGAGCTGCCTCCCCAGGAGGTTAAGGTGGAGGCAAAGGGGAAGCTTCAAACACTTTTGCCTACTTTTGTTCATCAGGTCCACCTGTCTACCCAATAAAGCGTGTTTTTCCAGAAACAGGAAGAGTTGGGAGAGGGAGCTTCAGTGCATGTGGCAGTGCGTGTGCTAGCGTGTATCATTGCACGTATGTTTTCCCCCTTACCGTAGGAAAAATAAAAAAAGAAATCCCTCCTCCATAATCGCAGCCACTCCAGGGGTCAGCGGCGGTGCCCACTCCCTCCCCTCGCCCGCCAGCGCCCCTTCCCGCCCTCGCCGCAAGCTGGCTCCCAGCCTTCCTGGCGCTTCTTAGGGGCTTTATCATGCCTCCTGCAAGAAGAGAGGTCATACACGAGACAGAAACGTTAGACACTCATCCCTCGTGCCCATTCCTTGGTCACGGCCCAAGCTGCCGCATCCTTGGCAGTCAAGGCCTCGCGGTACCCCTCCGGTCCCTACCTGGACTCGGCCCGCAGCCTGGCTCTAGGGGGCGCGCGGTCCACCTCCAGAAGGCCAGCTTCGAGAATCTACCTAGCTACTGTATACGTCACCAGCTGTAGGCCGAGGATTGGCTGACTCTGATTTAGCATCCTAACTTCCGGTTCCAGAGCTTGGCTCGCCAAAGACCCTCCCTCGAGGGAGCGAAACCACAGCCCCCAGAATTCAGCGGGCCTCTCGGAGAGCACGGCGAGTCTGAGGATGCGTAGTAAAGATAACGGGCCCAGAAGCCGGAAGTTCAAAGCCGGCCTCCAGCTGGAGTGGTGACCAACAGGAACTGCCGCCTCAGTGGGAGGAGTTGTGCAGCGTCTGACGCGCGGTTCCCTTTCCAGCGTCTGAAGCCGAATCCTAGAGGCTAACTCGGCAGGTGGGAGGGAGAAAGTCGCCTTCCGCACCAATAGCTGAGGCGTTCAGGGTTGTCCAGGGACGCTACCCTCTCGTGTCTGGTTCTGAGTCCTGCGTTCCGGAGTGCTGGAAAGTTGCGCAGACAGTGGCAGCGAGACGCTGCCTGCCTGAGGAGGCCTCGGTTGGACGCGAAGGAGCTGCAGCATCCAGGTACGCCGCCGGCTAGGGCCGAGCAGGGGCCGGCGATCCTGCTGCTTGCGCGCGCACCTGGGTCAGCCTCCGCTGGCCGCGTCCTCCCATCCCCCAGTCTTCAGGCCTGGTGCCCTTGAATTCAGTCACCCGCGTCTGCTGCGCCGCGGACCGTGAGCCGCACTGTTTCCTGCCCAAGCCCCTCGTGGCAGTGGTTCGGCCTTGCTAGCGCTCAGCGCTGATCCTGTCAAACTCGATTCCTGCCTGGCGTCTCGACCCTCCGCGCTCTTACTCCAGATGCCCCTTTTTTGCCTTATAGACCTCTGCGCCCTGATAAGTGGCTCTCCGGAGCACCCTTTATGCATATCGGTTATCCAGCTCCACCTCTTGGCCGCCTTCACTTCCTGGAATGCTCTTCCTGCTCCTCTTCTCCAGCCCACCCTTCTAAAAAGACAGTTCCACCCCCACCCCGATTCCCACCCCTACACCTTTCTGCTAACTTTTCTGGAGCCCCCGCCCTGTCTCTGAGCTCTTGTTTCTAAACTCTCACAAGTACCGCTCCACCATACCGTAAGCTCCGTTACGACAGAAGCCATGTTCTTTTTAGTGGCCTTCATAGCAGGATGTATTTTATTTTGTTTTATTTTTGAGACAGGGTCTTGCTTTGTAGCTCAGGCTGCAGGCACGCACCACTACGCCCGGCCTTTTTTTTTTTTTTTGATAGAGACATGGTCTCGCTATGTTGCCCAGCCTGGTCTCCCAACTCCTGAGCTCTAGGCATCCTCCCGCCTCGGCCTCCTAAAGTGTTGGGATTACCAGTGTGAGCCACCGCGCCCAGCCGATATACTCCCTAAGTGCCAAATAAAAGTAGATAAATGCTGATGGATACCCTAAAAGTCCTGAGTTGACCAGTATACAATCTATGCTTGTAACAAAATTGCACTTCTACCCATACATTTATACAAATTTTTAAAAACAAGTGAATCTAAGCCGAGATGATAGATGAATTTGAGGGAATGAGTTTTCCAGGAGAGAGGAGAAGCCTTAGTCTTGATGTCCCCTTGTGTTTAGAAGGCAGAACAAGAGAAAAGCCATATAACCTTTGCAAATTGCACCCCATTTTCTGTAATGATTCTGTTTTCTCGCAGTGTTCTGAAACTTGCAGTCCAACCACATCACTCCATAACAGAGACCCAGTGTTTTGTGCTTTATTGAGAAAATGCATGTCCCTCAGATAAAAGAGTGCCTCTGCTAACCTCAAGTTTCCCTTATTTCCAAGGTTAATCCTTCTACTCAGGCATACATTTTTTTTTTTTTTGAGCCTGAGTTTCACTGTTGTTGCCCAGGTTGGAGTGCAATGGTGCAACCAAGGCCCACTGCAACCTCCACCTCCTGAGTTCAAGCAATTCTCTGTCCTTTGCCTCCTGAGTAGCTGGGATTACAGGCATGTGTCACCACGCCCTGCTAATTTTGTATTTTTAGTAGAGATGGGGTTTATGCATGTTGATCAGGTTGGAATCGAACTTCCAACCTCAGGTGATTTGCCCACCTCTGCCTCCCAAGGTGCTGGGATTACAGGTGTGAGCTACTGAGTCCAGCCTGGGTGTATCATTTCATCTTTTCCTAGGCCGTTATCTCTCTTGTTCTATCCTGCCCCTTCACTTCTTTTATCCTCAGCTTAGCCACCAGCTTCATCCCCTTTAAAACACATTCTAGGCTGGGTGTGGTGGCTCACGCCTGTAATCCCAGCACTTTGGGAGGCTGAGGCGGGTGGATCATTTGAGGTCAAGAGTTCCAGACCAGCCTGGCCAACATGGTGAAACTCTGTCTCTACTAAAAATACAAAAAATTATCCAAGCATGGTGGCACATGCGTGTAATCCCAGCTACTGGGGAGGCTGAGGCAGGAGAATCGCTTGAACCCAGGAAGCAGAAGTTGCAGTGAGCCAAAATCATGTCACTGCACTCCAGTCTGGGTGACAACGAAATTCCATCTCAGAAAAGGAAAAAAAAAATCAGAACTTTCTCATTAATAAGCAAAACAACAGTAAAATTTTCTTAATCTTGTTACCTTCTCAAGCTGCTGTCCCATCACTCCCATCAATACTTATCTTTAGGGTGAGATAAGGGTGAGGATTATGATTCTTGTAAAAATGCTTCTCTGTCCTGGAAAAGTGGTAGGCACATGTGAATCTTACAGGGTTCATAAGGCCTGCTGAGGCCTTGGCTGAGAATTTGTGCTCTTGATGTCTGTACTGCCCTTTACTTGATGCTTATACTACCTGTTCCAGTTCAGTGGAATAAATTGACTAGAATCCTAGGCTTACCAGTGACCTAGTCACCGGTCCCCACCCAGTGTTCCCATCAGACCAGTCTTCATAGTAGTTAACTTTGCAGTAGTGCTCCCCAATTTTTTTTCTTTTTTCTTTTTCTTTTTTTTTTCTTTTGAGACAGTCTTGCTCTGTCGCCCAGGCTGGAGTATAGTGGTGCGATCTCAGCTCACTGCAACCTCTGCCTCCCACGTTCAAGCAATTCTAATGTCTCAGCCTCCTCAGTGTCTGGTACTACAGGCACCTGCCACCATGCCTGGCTAATTTTTGTATTTTTTGTAGAGATGGGGTTTCTCCATGTTGGCCAGGCTGGTCTTGAACTCCTGACCTCAGGTGATCCACCTGCCTCAGCCTCCCAAAGTGTTGGAATTACAGGCATGAGTCACCTCACCCGGCTTGAAGAGTTTTTGCTAATTGGATATTAGGGGGAACCTCAGCATGAATTAAGAGACGGAAATAAAGGTCTAGACACCAGGATTATGTTTATTAGTTAGTTTTAGGTCACTTTTCTAGCCAAGCTCTAGCCAAGTTGTACCATCCTGTTTTTGTTGGTTGGTGAATGCTTCCAGTTCTTTTCCTCCAGCCCTTGGAAGAGGTGGTCCTATAGTTGTTAAGCATTTGGCTAGGGTGATGGGGAGTGGGGATAAGAATAATAAGTGATGGGGAAGTCGAAGGCTGAAGGTCTCTTTGCAGGGTGCTTGTTTACTACCTTAGTGTCCAGCTCCATGGGTGTGTGGTTTCTTCACTGTCTCATGCACAGCTTGGGGTCATTTCAAATCTCAGATGACCTGAACACAGTCCTTTCTCATCTTGAACTTGTGTCACTTTGTATTCTTCCTCTGACCTCACTTAATGTCACTTTCCATAGTGGGATTGTATGTCAAAGAAGCTGTGCCTCAGCTCAGCTTGGGTCTGCACTCAAGGCCTGGCTCAAAGGCAATGTTCAGCCTTAGGGTTTACTCTGAGAAGCATTTACATGTAAATGTATCCATCTGTGACCCCTCTAAACCAGCAAATCCTGAGCTTTACTTTCAGTGTTTTTTTTTTTGTTTTTTTGAGACAGGATCTCACTGTCACCCAGGCTGGAGTGCAGTGGTGTGATCTCAGCTCACTGCAGCTCGACCTCCTGGGCTCAAGCAGTCTTCCTGTCTCAGGCTCCTGAGTAGCTGGGACTACAGGCACATGCCACCATGCCTGGCTAACTTTTAGAAAAAAATTATGTGGAGATAGGGTCTCACTGTGTTGCCCAGGCTGGTGTTAAACTCCTGGCCTCAAGCAATCTTCCTGCCTTGGCCTCCCAAAGCATGGGATTACAAGCATGAGCCACTGTGCCCTGCCTAGGTTCTTGACTTTGTGTGTATGCTTCAGCATTTGTGTGTATGTTTTGGTGTGTGTGTGCACATGCACGTGGTAAGGGGCAGGATTTTAAGTGTCTCTGCCTGCCAAAACTAAAAATAGGGTCCTCTTAGGCCTCACTGACAGGCTTATGGGAGCCCAGTTCTCTCCAGGCTCCTCAGGACTGGGTCTGAAGGTCCCTGGCTTCCACCCTGGCACTCTGTCTCTCTTTTTTTTTGAGATGGAGTTTCCCTCTTTTGCCCACACTGGAGTGCAGTGGTGCCATCTTGGCTTACTGCAACCTCTGCCTTCTGGTTTCAAGCTATTCTCCTGCCTCAGCCTCCTGAGTAACAGATTACAGGAACGCGCCACCTTGCCTGGCTGATT